TTTTTTTATTCATTTCAGAGATGAGTAACTTCAGGGGCGACACATGAGAACAAGTTAATGTTATGCAAAGCACGACGCACAGTATACTCCAAGATTGTTTTTCTAGCTTGGTAGTTGAAAAAGTTCATTATTTGGATAAGACTAAGATAGCAATTACCATTGGTAACAAAGTCTTTCAGGTCTTCATGTTTAGCGAGGGTTAGAGTTTTTGAATAACAGGGTCTTTTTTTTTTTTGTACTTTCGTGCCTACCTTACTGTACTCCTTTACTATATTTGACATAGCAGATTTACCGCACCCAACTGCAGCCACAATGGTACAGAGTGAAACTCCACGCTGGTGACCATAGATTATCGCTCCTCTTTGACTTTCACTTAAGTCTTTCTTTGCGTCTATTTTTTGTAGAAAAAAAAATAAAGATGATCTTTTTTTTAATTTATGCTGATCTGTTATACAAATAAACAAATTTTTATATTGAATCACGTTACCTGAGTATTACACTATATTTGAGTGAAATTTGATGCGATTTGAACAACAATTCGATTTTTTACGAATTTTTTTTAAAAAAAAAATTCGTAAAACTGATCTTTGTACATATCCAAAAATGGTACTTCATCTGCCTTTTGCATTATTTCTGCACAATCTAACAAAATTGCACAAAATTTTAATATGTTGTATCATAGAATTTGCTAATCATGTAATATAAATTTCATGCTGCGATTATTTACCTGATTTTGAACAATTAAAGTTCAAAAAGTGTCTACAATAATATGCTACTCTTCTGTAGCTAAACGACTACCATAAAGCATGGCCTAAAATACTAAAGTATTTTACAATTTAAGCTATAAGTTGCACTATATGAGTGCTTTAATAATATTTTATATACCATATAGCATAGACTATAGTACTCTGGATACAATATATTTTATAGCTAAAATCCAAGTTAGTACCCAAGTATTTTGAATTGAACTGCAAAAAATTTTTGTAGAGGTATTTTGATATGGAGTACTATAATCTGCACTGTATGGTACTAAATGCAATTAATCCATTTTTAATATCTAGGTATTTTACATTTTCAAGTATAATTAATCCATCCTTAGTATCTATAGTACTTTACGTTCTAGGGTTCCGAAAATTGTAAAGGGTTTATAAATGGAGAGTCTTTTAGACCATGCTGTATAGTAATTGATTAGTTGCTAATTAATTGTACAACTAATCGATTAGAAAATATTTACAATTTGTAACACTACCTGTATGATGCACTTTTATCAAAATTATATCTAAGAGAAAACTATTTAGTTTCCAAAAAGAATTAATATAATAGATTATTAAACTAAGAAATGCAGCACCATTGGATGCCATCCACATATCAGAGGTAAATAACACTTTTTCAGAGATTTGTGAAAGCACTAATTTTACTTGCTCTCTTTTATTTTCAAATAGAGTTATAACACAATCCTTTTCCATATGACAGTTATGAAACTGGTAACGTGAATCAAACTTTTTTATCATATTCTGCCATTCTTTGTATTTAACAACAGTAAAAGGCTATAAATCACACAATATTTATTTAGTTATTATATCATCACACTCTTACTATTCTTCTACTGAGTAGAGAGTATCATGATCATTTATAAGTTTTTTTTTTGTTGTTTTGGTGCAATAATATTATGTACATCTTCTAGATATCACCTTAATATTGAGATACCTATACCTATTCCATATTTTGTATTGCATCTTTTATATGTCCGATCAGATCTATTAATATATTTTCACACAGATGAAGGCCCTCTTTTTTTTGTAGTCGTGAATTAATACTTTCATCTGATTCACTAATTGATGATTCACTTTCTTGACATTCACAATCCTCTTGGTCAACTGCAAAATCAGCGTCTATATTATTTTCTTGATTAAAGGTAAGAAGCTCATCAATTGTGCACATTATAATTATAAGATACGATGTATAACTGGTATAATTTAAAAAAGAAAAACAAATTTAAAAAAGATTATTAATTTTAGTTTGAATTAGTAATATTTTTAAGAATTAGTTGTATCATGATTGAATCATAATTTTTATCATGCAAATAAAATTTTATAGAACGTAATTTTATTTCTGTGCTTTTGTAATTAGATATAATATGATATTATTATTTTTTTATTTCGGTATTTGAAAAATCATTGAGCTTTTATACATTTATACAAAACTTAATTCTAATATGAATACATGGTCTCAAATCACATTTGAACTGCATAGGCCGAAAAAATTTTATAACAATAAAAGCATGGAGCCAAATCTATTAAATATATAGAAAATATAGCACAGATCTTTGATGATACTACGTAAAGGATTATTATCAGAAGAACTAGCAAAACTAAACAGAACTGAAGTGTTTGGCAGCACTTCACCAACCAGGCCGCCGAAAGAGTAACCGGAGGAAAAGGACCCAACCGTGGGGACCAGGCAGGTCATAGCCCTTTCAGGCCATCTGGATTGGTAGTTTGGGTAGCTAGGGACACTGTAAAAAGTCTGTAACGTGTGAACCGAGATTTGGGTGAACTCTATAAGGGCAGAAGTAGGTTGTGTAGCGGCAACCAGGCCAAATATAGAAACTGGGCTGCAAGTGGTAGGTCTCAGTCCGTGCATATCAACCGAAGACTAGGTTAGCTGGATTGTGGGTATAGAAGGCTCTAGCAGGTTTATCTCGAGGACAAA